CTTGTGACCCCTTGATAAATTTTAAATTATTATTATTTTCATATCTTACACCGACCACTGTCTCTCTTCCCTTGCGGTTCTGTTGTTCATCCCCCTGGAGGGGTGTGTGTGTGGATGTGTCAATCATTGCCATTGGCCCCCCTTCCTCCTCTCCTCTCCCCACCTTCCCCCTACCTTCTGGTATCACTACTCCCATTCCTGTTCCTGGATTCCGTGTCTAATGGGCTCTCAACTCTTAGCTGCACATGCTCTGGTCTAGCCTGCAGTGAAAGGCAGAACTGGGGTCATGAAAGGTCCGGTGGTGGTGAGGAAGCCTCAAGGAACCAATGACCATTATGACTGTCTCCCCTCTGGTCCTGGAAGAGCTGCCCCTCATAGCCTGAAGTCCATTTTGGGGACTGTTCAGGGGCTTGGTGGTGGTGCTTTGCTTCTGTTGCTGATCTGCCATGTGTCCCCAGTATTGTCCTCTGTAGGATCTAGTGAGGGGGCATCATGTCTTGAGCTGTTGCTGGCCCTACAGTCCTCTGTGCGTTAGCAGCTCTGTGCAGGGAAGTCATCCTTCCGGCTTGTGTGTTGATAGGAGTCTAGACTGTCCCTTCCTTTCCTTCCTGCTTTGTTTACGTGTGGGTGTGGCAAGCCAGCCCCTCTCCCCAACCTGTAGGTTTAGTGTTGTTCTCTGTAGCACATGATTCCAGGCAGGGGGGTCAGTTTTGCTCTGATTGGGGCCAGCATTTTCATGCATTTTCCACGTGATTACGTTGCATCAAGGTTTGGTGGGCCGTGGTGGGATCTGCATGCATACTCCCAATTCTCTGGAGACATAACTAGTGCTCTCCCCCTGGTGGGTTAGTGCCCTGCTCCCCATTGCCATCATCTCCTTTTTAACCCCCCCCCCTTCTCCCTCTCCCTTCCCCACTTTCACTGTCTTTGGTTTGGCATATAATGTAACTCCTTTTATTTGGTCTGACCTCCTCCCAACTGGCTGTACCTCAACCCATACAGTGTGAGAACAGTGGCTTTTCTGCTATACCTCCTATGCTGATTATACTTACCTCAGGGGGCTCATGTTATCCTTGTCCTACTGTGATTGGCTAACTTCGCTTTCCATAATTTCCTCCAACTCTTCGCATGAAATGATGTGCTTCATGTGATTATCAGTGCTTTTTAGTGATGTGTAGTACTCCATTGTGTGAATGTGCCAGAGTTTACAAATCCATTTGTCGACTGATGGAAACTGAGGTTGTTTCCAATTCTTTGCAATTGTGAATTGTGCCACAACAGACATTGGAGCAAGCACAGATGACTGGTCTTGGACTGTTTCTTACCTCTTCTGGGTATATGCCTAGTAGAGCGATAACTGGGTCATAAGGTAGCTCAATTTCCATTTGCTTTAAATATTGCCAGATTGCTTTCCACAGAGACTGTATGTATCTACATGACCACCAACAGTGGAGGAGAGTTCCTATCTCACAATATCCCTTCTAACATTTGTTGCTCTCTGACTTGAACTATCCTCAATGGTGTTAGATGGTATGTCATGGTTGTTTTAATTTGCATTTCTCTGATGGCTAATGATTGGAAACATTTTCTCATATGTGTATTGGCCATTCAGGACTCCTCTCTGATGAAACTTCTGTTCATGTCTTTTGCCCACTTCCTCTCAGGGTTACCTGTTTTTCTCTTTGTGCAGGCTACGAGGGTATTATAGATTTTAGTAATAAGCCCTTTGTTGTGTCATTGCTAAAAATCCTCTCCCAGTCTGTGGGTTCCCTTGCTACCCTTTTGGTGAAGTCTTTCGACCCACACAGGTCTTTATCCTTAGTATATCCCACTTGTCTATTTCATGTTCACCTGTTCTTGTATCCTTTCCTATTGCAGTTAGCCTATGTATGCCCTAAGCCAAGGTTCTTAGGTTTGTCCCCATTCCTTCATCGAAGGTCCTGATAGTTTGGAGTTTTACTTCTAGGTCTGTGATCCACCTTGAGTTTGTTCTTGTGCATGGGGTGAGGTACTTATCTTGTTTCAATTTTCTACAGGAGGATATCCATTGCTTCAAGCACCACTTGTTAAAGAGGGCATCCACCTCCCATTTGATGCTTTTTGGGCCCTTGTCAAAGATCAGTTGTCTATATGCAGATGGTTTTATTTCTGGGTTTTCTATTCTTTTCCATTGGTTTGAGTATCTGCCATTATACCAGTACCATGCTGTTTTGACCACAGTGACCCTGTAGTAGGTGTTAACGTCAGGTAAAGCAATCCCTCCGGCTTTGTCCTTTTTCTTTAGGGGTTCTTTGCTAATTCTGGGCTTCTTCCCTCTCCATGTGAAATTGATGGTCAGGTTTTCCAATTCTTTTAAGATGGTTGTTGGTATTTGAATCACAATAGCATTAAACTTATTTACTGCCTTGGGTAGGATTGACATCTTTATTTTAATGAGTCTTCTAATCCACAAGCATGGGATATTCTTCCATTTGTGGAGGTCACTTTGGTTTTCCTTGTATAAATATTTTTGGGGTATTTTTTGTTAAATATATACCTAGATTTTTCAAGTTGTTCTTGACTGTTGTGAAAGGTACTG